CTATATGATATAGTCGTCCGATCCGGCCCGTTCCGACATATATAGCAGTGAGAGCATATAGAAGACTATATGCAAAGTTTCATTCAGATAGCTTTAAAACTGAGGGACTAGTTTGCGTAGAAACAGACAGACAGACAGACGGACAGACGGACAGACAGACAGACGGACAGACGGACAGACAGACAGACGGACAGACGGACATGGCTAGATCGACTCGGCTGTTGATGCTGATCAAGAATATATATACTTTATAGGGTCGGAAACGTCTCCTTCACTGCGTTGCAAACTTCTGACTGAAATTATAATACCCTGCAAGGGTATAAAAAAACTCTTAAACCTTTTCTTAATTCCCAAATACCCATTCTCACCTTTTGCCGCTCAACTGGCTCCAACTGTGGAATTAAATTTTTAGTATTTTCGCTTGCAGAATGGAGGAGTCGGAAATTCTCGTACTTCTGCACTGCAACAAGGCGAGGCAAGTGCGGCATGTAATTACATTAGCTTTTATTTCTATTATGCGCTCATAACGTATTTTTTATTAATGCAGCATTCCATTAAAGGAATTAATGGCGAACAAAAAAAAAATGGAGGGAGAAGCAAGAGTGGAAAGCGCCAGGATGGGCGGGTAATTAAAAATGATCGGAAAGTTGAGCCAACATAATGATGTGCTTATACTGGCATGACACTGCCGCATTAATTAGAGACTTCATTAAAGATTTGACAGCGCTATAGCGTTTTACACAAGTGCGAGCAAGACGACTATATTGCGCTCTAATGCATTAGAATAATGCATTAGCTACTTCATTGCCGCGATAATCGATAGATCTACATATTATATACTAGATACTCGATAACAAAATACGGGTTTAATGAAGAAAATTGTAATTGAAAAATGTATTAGCCAGCTCATTGACAGTATGGTCTCACAATGAGAATTTTATTTTTATATCATTTCGCTTGTTTTTTGAACTGAAAATATATTAGAAAATTAGCAAAAATAATATGTTTTGCGGTAGCAAGTTTCTTGCGCTGTAAAATTAATTAAAATTATTTTTTTTGTAATAATTAAAAAAATTTTAAGCATTATAGGTTAAAAACATAAATTTAAAGGATTCTGCATTTATTTATGCAAGAATACTTCGACGAGGAATTCAGAAATTCATAGTAATACGCCTCGAATGGCGGCCGTTTTTTTTTGTTTACCTTTTACGGTCCGTGTGACCGTAGTCGTATTACCAAAATAATCCAAGCAAAATTCTAGCCAAATTACACAAAATTACACATATAGTGGTCTCTTTCAAGGTTCTAATGAAGTAGCTAATTAATGAAAACTGCATTAGTGTATCATATGGGCATTAGTGGGACTCGAGAGCAGCTGGCCAGTGCCAAGTTCCGTGTCCATTGCCCGGTGAAAAGCCCGACCAGAAACACTTCTGCTCATTGGGCAGAAGGGATGACCCAACAAGTTGTTGAGTGCTCAAGGACCTGTAGCCATATTTGGGTCAACGATGTTGAATTCCGTTGGCAGAACAAGTACAAAACCTATATGGTAAAGCAATTGAAAAGGTGATGATATCAAGTATATATTTTATAGATATTGAATTCGACTCTAGGTTAGTGTTCAGATAAAAACATTAGCAATAAGTCTGTTTATTATTCTCTTCAGTAAAAATTAAAGTAGTTCTTTATATATTTTTCAATAAAAGATATCAAAAGTTAGGACAAAAATCTTTACTCATTCACAATAACAATTCGTTTAACATTAAAATTTCATTTCATTTATTTTTTCATGCTACTGATAAAATATTGAAAACATAAAAAGACAAAGGGTCCAAAGTCAATCCGAGTCTGAAAGCAATCAAAGCCAAAACGCACAATAGAATATTTTTTAGAAAAAACGCAATTCGACCCGACTATTAATGTATAAAAAATTCAATTTCTTTTTATGGTCGCTTTTCCTGCATTGATAAACCAAAAGATTTTTGATGAACTTGCCAAAGTTTATTAAAAAAACGACAATGATGAAATTCCCTCCCAACTCTGTCTGTCGCCCGTTAGCCACCTAATATTTTATTCATTTCATTTTGACACACACACAAAAAATCCCTCTAAAAACGAAGTGTGAAAGTGCGGTGATAGAAAGAATTGTTCAATTTCGTTTATTGTCAACGATCGGCCAAGTGTGAAAATGGTTTTGAGTTCGAGTTTTGAAGTTTATTAAAATCTAGTGCCGTTCAAAGCGAATCTTTTTTGATTACTTGGTTATTGGAAAGAGAGAAAAACCGAAAGATTAATTTTATATTTAAAAAATAAGATAAAGGGTTTGCCTTAACGGGTAAAGTAGGTAAAAAATACTTGAAGGTAAACAAAGATGAAAATATTCTAACAATATTAGCATTTAATACTGTTTACCTGAAGTATACTTGTATATTTTGTGCTTGTTACTAAGAAATATACATTTTGAAATTGGTTTTATATTTAAGGGATATTTTACAATGTTAAAAAACAAGTTCTACTTTGCTTTAAATCAAATTCATAAATCCTTTCCCTCAATTTCCAATATTCCTTCTAATTACAAATTAAACTGGTCTCAAGACACAAACTTCAATAGACCGCTTAGCCCCAGCACTTGTCTTAATCAGCCCAACTAACCTAAGCTTATTTGCTATTAAGAAATCCGCTTTAGATTGGTGGGAAATTGTCTGGGAAAAGGCGGCCCTCTGCAAGTGGCAGCTGGCAACTTGGCCCCAAGCAACTTGGCCCCGTCAAAAGTTTTTGGCCAGAGCGTCAATGCTATCGTCATTTTGCTTTGACTGCGCACATGATTATTACACGCGCTCGCACGCACACACACCTCGCACACCCCACACACCCCCACACACACATACTGACAGACAGGCAGAGACTGATAGACAGACACATGCAAAGTTTGAACCGAAAAACTTGCCGCAAAAAGTTTTTTAAGTAAACGGAGGAGAGCAGAGAAGGAAGCCGCAAAAGGGTAAGAAAAAATTAAACTAAAAAGCAAACTTTAACTTAATGAAAATGCAATATTTGCCAGGCTAAAGGAAGATCGAGGAAAAGTTATTCCTGCCTGCCGGCAATTTATGCACCAACGTAGGCCAAGTCATGGAAATCAAAGACGAATCGAGTTTCAGTTTTCAGTCACTGATTTATGTCTTACAATAATTAATGAAAACTGCATTAGTGTATCATATGGGCATTAGTGGGACTCGAGAGCAGCTGGCCAGTGCCAAGTTCCGTGTCCATTGCCCGGTGAAAAGCCCGACCAGAAACACTTCTGCTCATTGGGCAGAAGGGATGACCCAACAAGTTGTTGAGTGCTCAAGGACCTGTAGCCATATTTGGGTCAACGATGTTGAATTCCGTTGGCAGAACAAGTACAAAACCTATATGGTAAAGCAATTGAAAAGGTGATGATATCAAGTATATATTTTATAGATATTGAATTCGACTCTAGGTTAGTGTTCAGATAAAAACATTAGCAATAAGTCTGTTTATTATTCTCTTCAGTAAAAATTAAAGTAGTTCTTTATATATTTTTCAATAAAAGATATCAAAAGTTAGGACAAAAATCTTTACTCATTCACAATAACAATTCGTTTAACATTAAAATTTCATTTCATTTATTTTTTCATGCTACTGATAAAATATTGAAAACATAAAAAGACAAAGGGTCCAAAGTCAATCCGAGTCTGAAAGCAATCAAAGCCAAAACGCACAATAGAATATTTTTTAGAAAAAACGCAATTCGACCCGACTATTAATGTATAAAAAATTCAATTTCTTTTTATGGTCGCTTTTCCTGCATTGATAAACCAAAAGATTTTTGATGAACTTGCCAAAGTTTATTAAAAAAACGACAATGATGAAATTCCCTCCCAACTCTGTCTGTCGCCCGTTAGCCACCTAATATTTTATTCATTTCATTTTGACACACACACAAAAAATCCCTCTAAAAACGAAGTGTGAAAGTGCGGTGATAGAAAGAATTGTTCAATTTCGTTTATTGTCAACGATCGGCCAAGTGTGAAAATGGTTTTGAGTTCGAGTTTTGAAGTTTATTAAAATCTAGTGCCGTTCAAAGCGAATCTTTTTTGATTACTTGGTTATTGGAAAGAGAGAAAAACCGAAAGATTAATTTTATATTTAAAAAATAAGATAAAGGGTTTGCCTTAACGGGTAAAGTAGGTAAAAAATACTTGAAGGTAAACAAAGATGAAAATATTCTAACAATATTAGCATTTAATACTGTTTACCTGAAGTATACTTGTATATTTTGTGCTTGTTACTAAGAAATATACATTTTGAAATTGGTTTTATATTTAAGGGATATTTTACAATGTTAAAAAACAAGTTCTACTTTGCTTTAAATCAAATTCATAAATCCTTTCCCTCAATTTCCAATATTCCTTCTAATTACAAATTAAACTGGTCTCAAGACACAAACTTCAATAGACCGCTTAGCCCCAGCACTTGTCTTAATCAGCCCAACTAACCTAAGCTTATTTGCTATTAAGAAATCCGCTTTAGATTGGTGGGAAATTGTCTGGGAAAAGGCGGCCCTCTGCAAGTGGCAGCTGGCAACTTGGCCCCAAGCAACTTGGCCCCGTCAAAAGTTTTTGGCCAGAGCGTCAATGCTATCGTCATTTTGCTTTGACTGCGCACATGATTATTACACGCGCTCGCACGCACACACACCTCGCACACCCCACACACCCCCACACACACATACTGACAGACAGGCAGAGACTGATAGACAGACACATGCAAAGTTTGAACCGAAAAACTTGCCGCAAAAAGTTTTTTAAGTAAACGGAGGAGAGCAGAGAAGGAAGCCGCAAAAGGGTAAGAAAAAAATTAAACTAAAAAGCAAACTTTAACTTAATGAAAATGCAATATTTGCCAGGCTAAAGGAAGATCGAGGAAAAGTTATTCCTGCCTGCCGGCAATTTATGCACCAACGTAGGCCAAGTCATGGAAATCAAAGACGAATCGAGTTTCAGTTTTCAGTCACTGATTTATGTCTTACAAAATCAAAATCGGAAGTTAAATAATATTGTTTAAGGCAAAATTTGAAAAGAAAACATAAATTCCCTTGATTATGGCAGATAGAAATAAGAGAAATAAAGTCAAGATCCTAGGCAATTCCGAAAACCAGAAAAGCTATCAGGATTTGAACAAAAGTGAAATAGATCGCGTGAATTCGGCTTTATTGGCAGCCGTCAACTTGGGAAAAAATCGAAAGAAAAATCTAAAGAAAAAAGATTTAGAAGACAGCAGTTTTCAAATAGTTGATGATACCTCTAGCTCTGAAGAAGACGAAGAACCAGAAACGGAATCGAGTTTTAAAGCCCCAAAGAGCGAGAAAAAAGACTGGTACACGCTAACGATAAATAGGAAAACTCGTCATCGTCTGGAAATGGCCTTGAAGTTACTCGAATTTGTAGAGGGAGGAGGCAGTGACTATGACAGCGACTGTTCCCTGAGTTCAGTGTCCTCATCTTTGTTTCTAAAGAATGACTGCACCAACAACAAGACCAGCACTCCCAGGGTGCAAGCATTGAAAAAACGAGGATATAAGAATTATTAGGAGTACGAAAAATAAATTCTAAGATTTTTAATACAAGAGGAACATGAATTTGGAATGAAAAAACATATTTTAAAATAAAAACAATTTAAAACAAAAGAATTCAATTTCATTTTACATGATTTTCTTTACATTTAAGTTGCTTAAAGCTTTAAGAAAACCACAAAAGTTCATAATATTTATAATTTAATCATCATTTTCGGTACCTAAAAAAAATTCTCTTTATTCTGTGATAATTTCATATCCTATATACAATTTTCATGCATTTTTTATGCGTCTCATAGTAATCAGTTGCTTTTTTCATGTTGGAAGAGAAAAAAAAGGGTGCCACGATAATCCAAATCTCATTACGCGCAAGTCGTACTTAAGATTAAAAATAATTATTTCAATTTCTGTGCCAGGCCATCGTCACGTAGTCGTGGCACAGGTGAGCGAGGGAAAGCGGGAAATCCTGGGGAAAAAAGTGAAAATTCAATTAGAATGCGCCAACTTCATGTGAACAGGCAGCCAGGCGAGTCTAACTGTCTGGCTCTCTGGAGTCGGCGTCTCTCTGTCTGGCTGCTCCAACCGAAAATGCAATGCCGGCAGGTTGGATTACAGGTGGAAAATGGGGTGGGTATGGTAGGGGAAATGGTATGTGCTGGGTGGAAAATGTGGGGAAGGCGCCACCATAGCGTAATCCTTTTGCCAGCCTGCGAGCAACCACAATAATTTGATTTTACCTTGCTTTAACTTCATGAAAAAGTTTCAAGTTTTTTTTCTCCAACACTCACACACACACACACACACACCTAAGGCCTCCTTGTGCTGCTGATAAAGTTTTTAATTTTGCAGCTGAAACTCATTTAGCGCAACGAAAGTGCGAAGCTGCGGCAGCATCAGAGGATGATACGTGTTTTAGGATCGTCTGCTGCATATTTAATGGCGTTCTTGCCCCAAAAACAAAAAAAAAGGAAGAAATTTAATTTTAAAGAGCTGCTATGTATGTATGTACGCACTTTTATATACACCAAGTCTTCTTTCATTATATAAATTTCGCCTACACTGTGCCCAAGGCATAATAAAAGCCGAAAAATCAACTCGGTGGGAGAACTATGGGCAAACAAATTCTAGCAAGAAATTGCTACACGAACTGGAAAAATACACAATCTACAAAAATTCATCTTTATTATGATGTTGGCGGCGGAGTTTCACTGGGTTGAAATGCATTTAAATGAGGCCTTGGCCGGGGGGCCCAAAATTAAATTAAAATACTCATGTATTCAGATTCAGAAAATAAAGGAGAGTCTGATTTCAGAAGTATACATACTTCCTCATTCATATAGAAAAAGATGAGCAGTTGTTTTCTCATTATTTAATTAAATTATCATTTGCAGATTTTTTTAGGTACTTACATTGATTTTTAAGTGTCTTAGAGAACATTTCTTATTTATTTTATTTATTTAAGACAGCCACAAAATCTATCAACACACACAGATTCATGAATGCGAGTCGTATTAATTGAAATCAAACACTCAAAAGTCAGTCCGACAATGCGGTTGCTGTGATTGGATTTTCTGATTTGGTTTTTTCGATTTTGACAGCACCAGGTGGCCATGTTGGTGTCCAAAAGGAAACCTCTTTGTCTTGAACAAAAAATTCCATTCGCAATCCTTTTTTAGCCAAGCCAAAATATTTTCTGGGCGTAAGACAATGCAATTCAATTTTTCTACGCCAACAAAATGAACAGCCAAACACTCCGCCGCCTCCATCGGAAAGCAATTCTATTTGATGGTGTAAAACTGTTTGAATTTGAATTAATAGGATTAGAATGAAATGACTTTTGAATGGGGGTAAATAAATTAAAGTGCTTTTTGCCATCGAATCGAATGCAAATGTTGATTCCGTTTCACTGACACAAAAGGACTCCAGGAGCACACACAGAGCTGACAGAGTTGATGTAGGAGCAATCAGATTAGTTGCTTAAAAAATATTTCCGCATGTAGCGGCAGCATCAGCAAAAGCATTTTAATTATCGCAATTCCCCAGGGCGCAGTTCAACTAATTGCCTTCCCCTGAGGGCGAGATTTCTGGGATGGGGAGAGTTTGGGGGTGCTATTCCCGATGTCACAATTAAACTATGGCCCCAGCCAAAGGGACCGAAAATTCCACCCAAAAGCACTCGCAGAAATTTGTTTTTAAACGTAAATAAAAATGAAAAGAATTTGTTAGGAACAATCGATATTTTATCGTTTTTTATCATTTATAAACAAGACAAAAAAACATATAGCTTAGGAGAAGACAAAGGAATATATATTGTTTACATCTTTTTCGATATCTTTTCAAAAATGTTGATAATTATAAACGGTTCATTAAATATTTCGATATTTGGAATTTCAATATTTTCGATAACATACTGACCATTTTTGGCAATATATCGAACTTTTCCTTATTGTTTTATTTCGAAGTTAATTATACTATAGAATTAACACAAATTTATTTTATACTTTTAAAGATTTAATAAATATTTAAAAATTTACTAATATTTTAAATACATTTTTAAGAAAAATATACAAAATATAGCAATGTAATTGGCCTTATTTTCAACCTAACAACGCAATATTCAACAATTTTCAATTAGAAAATAATGGCATTCGAGTGACAATATCTCCCAGTGTATATACACACTTTTGGGCCGTAGCTTTTGTTGTCCTTATCAGTAACTCAAATTGGCAAAAACTGCCGCAGTACCCCTAATAAGAAACCACAGGAAAGAAGAACAAAAAAAATACAGAGCTATGTACAAACTGAAAGCCAAAAGGAGGCGCGTGTTGTTTTGTCCTGGGAAAAAATTAGGCATTCCGTGCGAAATGTAGATACGAGATAATCATTTTAATAAATTTCACAGTGACAAATGACTCGGTCCCTCTCTATTTATCTAATCGTCCTTCGCCCGTAGTTCTGTCTCTATATTTTTGTCCTGTGTCGTTGCCTCTTCCCGGAGACGTGAATTAGTAATAAGTGATGCCAAGGCTATGCCTTGACTAATTGATGAGGTTACTTATTTTTCCGGCGGATGGGTGAAAACACTTCTTTAAACTTTTAGCTTCTACAAATAGGATTTAATTTATAAAGAGAAAATTGATTTATAAGGAAAATAACTATCATTATTGTTGAAAAAGAGTATAAAAATTACATGCTAAAAATGCATTCATTAATATATAAAACTCCAGATTAATATTACAATTAATTTACTTAAGGCTGAAGATATGTACACTGATAAAAAAAAACAAGAATTTTGGTCATAAAAACGAGATTTTTCGGTCACGAAAATGGCTTAAGCATATTTTGGTCTTCTTTGGATATTTTCGGTCATCTTTTAAGTACTTTTTCATTCTACATTTGAGATTTTTCAAATATTATTTCAATCCTTAAAAAAGTTTAAAATAAGAACGATAAACGACCGAAAATCTTAAAAAATGACCATAACAAGGCTTAAATTAAGAAAAAAAAATTTGTTTGAATCCTATAACGAGACCGGCCTTAGTTAATACTACTAAACATTCGTAATACCAAACATTTTAAATTAAACATTATTGTGAAAGAATTTGTATAATCTGTAATTATAGAGCTAGAAATGATTATTGTAAATTAAATTAGTATTAGAAATTTTATTAAAAGCTACTTACATTTTTTTTCCCGGCTGGGATCCGAACCCATGTCTCAAAATTCACAGACCGACCGCTTACCAACTGGGCCACTGAGGCAAATCAAACACTAATGTCGGGAACGTAAATACATACAGTTCCAAGGACAGAGAAAACAAAAAAAAAATGTATCTCCCTCTCTGAGCTAAAAATAGTCTTTTTAAGAATGGTCGTAAGAGCGAGACGGCACTATGACTTCCATTTTTGTGTGAGAAAAAAAAGAGACAACACTAGAAGCCGTCTCTTCTGAATTTTTAAGATTAACAAAAATCTTAATTTACGATTTTTATTTCTTAAAATGAATCATTTTCGGTATTACTTTATGATTTTTTCTTCTTCTTATTAGAATATTTGGTCTTTTTTTAAGATTTTTTTTTTAAGAATGCCAAAAAATGTGCAAATCTTAAAAGTAGATTATTTTGTTCGTAAATATACCCTGAAAAATCTCATTTCTAGAATTTTTGGTCTTATAGTAAGATTTTAAATTAAGAATGCGCAAAATCTCAAAAGAAGATTTTATTTTTTTTATCAGTGTATTTGAAAAGATTAGTAATGCCGGTATTCCCCCTTTTTCGCTCGCTTTTATCACTAAAAGTCGTTCCGGGAAAGCATAATGATAAGGTCAATAATTAAACTAATAAAATTAGTGCCAGCCTTTGCCAAATTCTTGCTGATTTCTATGAAGTATGACACACTGGACCCACTTCCAATTTATACAAAAGAGACAGATAAGATAAGTACGATAAGACAAGAACGGAGTAAACAGTCAATTCAATGGGATTTTGGCCATTTATTAAGGAAATGTGGCTCAGTCTTTAAAAGTCTCTCAAAAGTAACTCAGTCTTTAAAGTCTTTTATAAAAGTCAAGATGCCTTTAGGTCTATTATTTTTGTTTTTAATTTCAATTAATTTTGCCGTCCAAAACGAAGTCTGTTCTATTTTGTCAATCTGTGACGATATTTCAGCAATAAAATCACAAGTGGCAGCTATTCGGTAAGGTTTTCAATGTTTTCAATATTATTTCATCTCACTTTTTAAATTCAAATAATAGCGAGGAGCAAGCCCGACAGGCTAATATTTTGGAGGGTTCTGCTTTGCCTCTCGAATCTGCAAGTGGCCTAAGTGTGGCAACCACCAAGAATAATGATGAATTTTGCACTCTTTTATCGATTTGCAATAATCTAGCAGCTTTAAGCTTGGAGTTGGCAGCTGTGCGGTATATTTATAATCAATTATTGTAACCAAAACATTTTAAAATTTTGAAGATTTGTGAAGATTTGCTAAAGAAATCAGGTCTCAGTTTCTAGTACTGACTTGCCACAGACTTCCTGCTAGAATGTCAAAAATAAAAGCAAAAGTTCCCTAAAACGAGTTTGCTTTTATTGGATACTAATCTAAGTTTACTTATAAGAAGAAAAAAGTGAAAAATATCTAATACTTTCCGAGTTCTAGGCTTAGAAGAATGGGTGTACTTATTATTTCGGCCAGCCCATTTTCATGCTTTTTGGATAAAATTGACCCCTGTCTCTAAATTTGAAATGTAAAATCCTTTAGGCAGTTATTTTTATTATCTAGAATAAGTACGGAAACTAAAAATAAATTGGGTTTTTTCCTTAAGTATATTAAACAAATTTTATAGGACTTGAAACAAACCTCATACGCATGTACTTATTATTTCGGCCAGTAGTGTAAATACCACTTTAATAAATACTTATTGTTGATAAGGCCAATAACCGGTAAACATCTGGAATTCCCCCTTCTCAGCAATTTGGTTGGCGGATGTGACTCAAAGTTATTCGGAAAAAAAGAAATAAGGGGTATAGTCAAGAATAGGTCGTGTTTTTAAATAACTTTAGATACGAGAGTAACGAAATAATTAATTTTAGAGAGCTCATAACATTTTGGCTATTTGTAGCTTTAAAATAAAAGGCATTTCATATGAGTTATTATGATGTTACGGCCCAAAATATAGTGCTTCTCTAAGATATCACGAGTATAAATGTATGCAAATTAATATTCCTAACAGTGAAGAAGACAACAATTTCGTATAATCTTGAAATAAAGTAATAAGAAATGACCATCTAAAGTATATTTGGGAATGCTTTGAGAATAATTTTGATATACGAAAGAAGTAAATTTAGATCGTCAGTAGATACGATACCATGATAATACCTTTTAAGTATGAATTTATTGGTTTTAGGCAACCAAATACCCAGAATAATAATACCCTCTGCAAGCGTATTTTAAATGCGACAGATTAGATTAAGAAGTATGATAAGAGTTTCAATGTTTTGGTTTTTATAAAGGAAATGCTCAGTCTTCAAAGACTTTTGGACAAGTCAAGATGCTGATCGCTCTATTTATTGCTTTATTAATTTCCAATGGTTTTGCCATTCAAACTAAAAACGAAGTATGTACCCTCCAGTCGATTTGTGACAATATTGTAGAGATTACATCGCAAGTGGCGGATATCCGGTAAATATTTAATATTTATTACATTATATTATTAACTATAAATGAATTCCAAAAATAGCAAGGAGCAAGAGCGACAGGCTAATATTTTGGAGGGCTCCCCTGCTTTATTTTTTGAACCAGGAAGAGAACCAAAAGCACTAATCACCAAAAATAATGAATTGTGTACTCTTTTATCAATTTGCAATAATCTAGCAGCTTTAAGCTCGGCGTTGGCTGATGTGCGGTAAATATTTAATCAAATATTTATGTAATGTAAACATTACCAGTATTTTTATTAAAATTCAGGGCAGAACAAGAACGCCAGGCAGATCTGTTGGAGAAATCCTGTAAAACTGAAACAGCTTCCTATCCCGCAAATTGTTACGAAGCGTTGAAAGACTCTCAGAAGAGTGGCGTTACTGAGATCCGTGTGCCCGAGTACAGTGATAACCCCTTTAAGGTGGCCTGCGATCAAGAGAGTCATGGCGGTGGCTGGACTATAATCTTAAGGCGGACGGATGGTAGCGAGGACTTCTTTCGCGAATGGAAGGACTACGAGAAGGGCTTTGGCCAAGTGGACGGTGAATACTTCGTGGGATTGGGACCGCTGCATGCATTGACCTCTTCGGTGGAACAGGAACTTCTGATCATCCTAGAGGACATTGCAGGAGAGGGCTACGAGTTGTACGACAATTTCAGGGTCAGTGGAGTACATAACAATTATACCTTGGAATCGGTGGGAAATTATACGGGCACCGCCGGTGATGCTCTCGAGTATCACGTGGGAATGCAATTTTCCACAAAAGACCACGATAACGCAAGACCTCTAGATTTTAATTGTGCTGCATCATGTTCAGGAGCCTGGTGGTACAATGTTTGTTATCAAAGGTAGGTTATCAAGTCCTATATTCCGTTTATAATTAATTAAAATTACGTATTATTTAGCAACTTGGCTGGTCTCTATGGCGACTGGTTGCGCTGGAATTCTAATTACTTTTATTATCCATTAAAGACCGCAATTATGATGATACGGCCCAAAAGCTAGTGATTTCCTGAGATATCACGAGTATAAATGTATAAAAATTAATATTCCTAAGAGTGAAGACAACAATTTCGTATAATCTTTAAATAAAGTGATGAGTTTCTAAATATTATTTGGGAATGATTTGTGGATAATAACGATATTTAAAATTTAGTCAGGAGATACGATATCATGATTATATTTATTAATTAAGTATTCACTTTTTAGTTTTATACAACCAAATGCCCAGAAAAATAATAACCTCTGCAAGCGTAGTCCAAATGCGACAGATTAGATTAGGAAGTATGATAAGAATATCGCAACATAAGCAGTTCAATGTGATTTTGATATTTTTTAAAAGAAATATTGCTCAGTCTTCAAAGTCTTTTCGACAAGTCAAGATGCTCATCGGTCTAATTTTTTCTCTATTAATTTCCAATGGTTTTGCCATTCAAACTAAAAACGAAGTATGTACCCTCCTTTCGATTTGTGACAATATTGCAGAAATAAGATCGCAAGTGGCGGATATCCGGTAAATATTTAATTTTTTTAATTAAATTAATTACTTTAACTATTATCAGAATTTCAATAATAGCAAGGAACAAGAACGTCAGGCTATTATTTTAGGGGGCCACCCTGCGTTATCTCTAAAACGCATAAGAGAACCAAAAGCATTAATCACCGAAAATAATGTTGAAGTGTGTACTCTTTTATCAATATGTAATAATTTAGCAGCTTTAAGCTCAGAGTTGGCTGATGTGCGGTAAATATTTCATCAAATATTTATGTAGTGTTCAAAATTACCAGTCTTTTCATTGGAATTCAGAGCAGAGCAAGAACGCCAGGCAGATCTTTTGGTGGAGTCCTGTCAAACAGACTCAAGTCCCCGTCCCGCAAACTGTTACGAAGCATTGAAGGAATCTCAGAAAAGTGGCGTCACTGAGATTCGTGTACCCGAGTACAGTAGAAACCCCTTTAAGGTGGCCTGCGATCAGGAGAGTCATGGCGGCGGCTGGACTATAATCTTAAGGCGGACGGATGGCAGCGAGGACTTCTACCGAGAATGGATGGACTACGAGAAGGGTTTCGGCCAAGTGGACGGTGAATACTTCGTGGGATTGGCCCGACTGCATGCATTGAGCTCTTCGGTGCCCCAGGAGCTGCTGATCCTCATGGAGGATTACGAAGGAGAGCAACGCTACGGGATGTACGACAATTTCAGGGTCGGGGGAGAGGCCAATAATTATACATTGGAATCGCTGGGAAATTTTTCCGGCACCGCCGGTGATTCACTCACATATCACTTGGGAATGCAATTCTCCACCAAGGATCGCGACAACGACATTCACGAAACCATTCACTGTGCCGTACATTTTACAGGCGCCTGGTGGTACCGATATTGTCAACTTAGGTAGGTATATAGTCATCACCTTTTCTGATCTTAATTCTTACCGAGTTCCGATTTATATAGCAACTTGGCTGGCGTATATGAAGAAAATTCTTTTGGAAAAAGCGTACACTGGTATACCTTTAACGGATTTTATGAATCACTGAAAACTGCAGTTATGATGATACGCCCAAGAGCTAAATAGTGCCTTCAAGGAGTAAGCTAAATATTATATTAAAATAAGTTGGCCTTATTTCCGTGATTGGTTCACTTTCTGCAGAATTATAAAACGCCAATCGCTTTATTAGTCACTTTAATAATAAGATTAGATAGTGGAATAAGCGAATATATAGTCCTAAGATTAATATTTATGGCCAAATTAATTAAGACGTTTTGTTGTCTAAGATCATATTTCTAGTATTATCAATAAATAGTTTTGCCATCGAAAGTAGAAAAAAAATAAACTCTTTTATAAACTTTTTGTGCCAAAGATTCCTTATGATATGGCAAAGAAATAGTTTGCGTTTTAAAATGTACCTCTTAATTTAATTTAGACAATGAACGTGCTATAAGAGAAAGGAATTTTCTTTTTCTATCAATTTTCTGGTGTTTGTTCTCCTTTTTTCAACAATTACAAGGAGGATTACATGTATTTATTTGCAGTTTAATTTCAGTCTCCTTATTTCTTGGATAAAATCATGATTCCTTAATAATCCTCTGTAGTGAACTTGCCGCACATTTCACCAACCAAAAATGAGCGCCGAAGGAAGGCGAGCAGCTGCTGGAAAGAATTGCCGGATGTGTGTCGAGTGTTTTTAATTTTCGCTTGAACAGTTCTGCTTCCGCTAGCCGCACTCAGCACCCCCTTGCACCCCTTAAAAGTCAATTGTTTGCTTGGGGCATTATGCAAATTATGAAACTACAGAAGAAAAACTTTCAGATGTTTTGCCACAGCTGTTGACAGTTAGTTGCCTGCCATTTTGTTCTCTTGTTATGATCAAAAAATGATTAAAAAACCCAAATAGCTATACGTATGACAATATTTCTCAGCTTTTATTTGATATATGTATAATGGTTTGTATAATCATAAACTTAGGGGTCTAAATACAATTCGATTCGATTCGTAGAAATGATGCATGCGCCGCGGCGGTAGAAAAGTTATTACCACAGTTAATCGTAGATCTACAGCTAAGCTACATAATAAATATGCCATAATAATTATTAATAGTTACCGTGTATATGCTCGAAATAGATCTAAATTTTTGGATTCTCTCATATGTGATTCATACTTAAAACAGTATTCAATTTGCAATCAGCCACTAGTCGAAATTTTTGGCCCGATTAATTCGCTCGTGTGGGTGTGACAATGGAAAGTACATAATAACAAATAATATAACTGGCGATTATAGCACACATAAATATAAATACATACATATATCTAGGTTCTAACAAATTCGTAGCACAAACAAACAAACAAAAAAAATCGCATAAATAATTCGTGACTTGTGTGAATTGCAAATGCAATTATATCGAAGAAATGTGTTTCGATTGCTTTGTGTACTTTGTATTTTGGTTTCTTTGAGTGTATCTGTGTATTTACATAAATGAACTACAAACCTAGAAAAATGAGTGTGTGTTGTGTTGTGAGGGGGAAATATCAACAAATTATACATTTATCATGTATTTGATGTAAGTGTGTTGGGAAACCCATTTTTGGCCAAGATTCCAAGTCCTACGACTTTAAGCCAATGGCGTCGGTGACATTGTGGCACGTGTCGTTCTGGTTGGCGATTTGGTGGGCGTGGCTGCTCCGCTGCTATTTCCACTGCCGCAGCCACCGTTTCCATGGAGCCGGAAAAGTTCACCCACTGTGATGGCCACCTGGACGGCGCCTTTTCCTTCCAGCACGTCGGCAGCACAGCAAATTAGATTCTACAAAAATAAGATTTACAAATGGATTACATTTTCATTTAGAATGCGGTTCACACAATGGTTGATGTCCTTAGAGCGGAAGATCAAAGGAGAAAAATAGCATTTTAGTTGAGATTCAACTAGTTTCTTTTTTTCTTAATTTAAAAAATAATTTAAACAATTTATTTGTAAAAGGCTCAATGTAAACCAATATTAAAAAACTTTTTTAAATTACATTACACGCATTTCCCTTTTAAATTTAATTGTTGTATTGAATTATAAGGAATTTTTGTATCTAATTTAATTTTAAAATTAAAAATAAAACTTTAAAATATATTTTTCAAGCTTATTACTTATATTATTTTCTCTTTTGATCTTTTTTTTTATTTATTTTTAAATTTTTTATTCTTTAATTTCCCAGCAAACCACAGTTTTGAAAGCAGTGGATTGTGTCTTCACTACGATAAAATTTCCCCGAGTTGTGTTTACCACCTTAGCAAAGTCGCAATTGCTCCCAAACTGTGACTGCTAAGCTGCGCAAAATATTAAATTTAAACGTACATTTTGGTATATTTCCCATATATTTTTCTCATTGATTTCACTTTTATGTATATATAGCGCATAGTTGACAGTTTGTGCTTAAATTTAAATGCAACAGTTTCCGTTTATTTGAATATTTCTTTCGGTTTTGGAAGTAAATGCATGGAATATTCGGACAAACTTTTGTTTTTTGGCTTTAAACTTCATTTGGGAGGTTTCTTTTATAAGTAGACTTCTGTATAGATGCAAGTGTCTGAGTGTTAAATATTTGTTTCATATAAAAATTAATGACTGATTACGATTTACATTTCATATATAGCTGTCTCAATACATTTCTTTCTTCACTTTAATAATTTTGTTAGACAAAATATATATTTCTGATTTTAGACGCTAGATAAATATATATATGTTTATCTTTTTTCCTTTCTGAGAGTTTGAGATTGTGCTTCTTGGAGAAATTTGATTAGCTTTTGTTTAATTTCGTTTAAGTACATTTTCTGGGGCCTTAAGTTAGTTAAATAAAGTTTGGTTACAATTTACCATAATATTAGGAATGTGATTAGCACAAATTGTTAATTTAGTAAACTTAATTGTAAATGAAAAGCGAAGAGAATAGCGTTCAGTTCTTGGAAATTATTGCTTTGCGTGAAGAGTAAGTGTAGATACGATATAAGCAGCTGTAGGTTATAGGCAGACTAGACTGTAGTCGATGCTCCAGTCAAAGGCACTATTTTGTGATTTTTATCATTTTCGTATAAGAGGTCTTTTTCATGTAAGAGTGTGTGAAATTGTTACAAAAAGTGTGTTATGTGATGTTTCTTAAATCGTGTACGAGTGTTTTTTTCTTTGACACATTTATTTGTACATCAAAAATGTATTGAGAAAGATGAATAAAATAAAAATGAGTTATTTCATAACTAACTTGGAATATTACTTCTGAAGTTGGTACATTGGTTGGCTGTTATTTATATTTTTTGTTCATCATTTCTATTAACTATTTCACGCTTTTCTACAACTATTTAGAGTGTCCCTGCCTTCAAGTAAAACCATACAACATCAAATTCCTTTCGGAATTCATTGCCCCTCAAACTGTAACAATTCTCTTTGCCATTTTCCTGTTTTGTTTAAGAAAACTTTTATATATATGTATGTATATTGTATCATCTACCTATGACTACAAGTAATAGAATTTACTTTGGGGATTTCACTTGTCTTCTTTGTTAAAATGGGAACATAAATCGTTTAGTTTCGTTGTAACTTAGGTCGTATTAATATAATGAAATCAAGCGTATTGTTAATGTATTTTTTCTGTTTCAGTTCAGTTCACGAGCAAACGAAAATGTCGTCGAAATGTTTGTAAAGATCCTTAATTCAATTTAGAGTTCAATATAGCTTGAACTAGGAATATGTGATTAAATGGGGTTGTTTAGTATAAAAATACTTTTCTTAAGAAGTTATTTAATAGAGGTAAGCACAATTAGAGGCGGTTAAAGGTAACTAAGTTGATTAATATATTTAAATTGAAGATGATAAGCTATAAGGTAGAGTTGAACTACAAAATATAGATGATATTACTATCCTTACTTAAAAATATATATAAATAAATAAAGTTTTTCTAGTTTTACATATCAAAGTAATACAAAAATAGTGTAAATAAATATAGAAAATATTGTTTTTTAAAGGAACTTTAGGTTGACTTCTTTTAAGATATAGTAAGATTTCCTAAACCCAATTGTGCTTACCCCTAAAACCAACCAAAAGTGTAACTTGACTGCTTTACGTTTTCAAAGTCTTTGGGTTGTCTCTCAATTTAAATGCCTCAAAAGTTGCCTTTCTTTTGTTTTCGATATAGAGAATACATCATAAATATGGGGATTTATAAGCCTAAGAAAGCAGTAAATAAAAAGCAGCCTCAAAAACTCACTACCAAAGTGGAAAGAGAAGCGCAAAAGCGACTCGTAACTCTCTCTATTCTTCGATCTTAACTCTACTGGCAAGCCAAAGGCGATTATATAGATTATCCGGGCAGCGGGAAGAAGACCAGCCAAAGGAAGGTCGCTATGAAAACGCACGACAGGATTACGGTTAGGGTGTGGGAATCGTGTTTTAATAATATTGAAGTTCCAGCTTCGTTGTCCTTGGCTTTTAACTTATGATCAAGCTGCTGTTTGTCCTTGTCCTTGGGCAAATAGATGCTGAAGACCTCCAGCTTCTGTTTGCCGTTTCTCTGCTGCTCGAAGAACTCGATGCGTTTGCTGATTGCCTCCTTGGTTGGCTCCGAACAAGCTTCTTGGTCCTTCGAGTCCTCTGATTCTGTCTGCTGCTGCTTCTCATCTATTATTTGATAATGTCCCGCCGGTCCAGCGGCGGCCACATCGTGCTCATTCTCCACAATCGTGTGCAGCATCCGATTATTGTTGTTCGCCTGAAAATTGTGCTGACCATGGGCACTGAGCAGATTGTGCTTGATCTTCTCATAGGTCTTTTGCTTGGCCTTGAGCAGCATTTGGCCCACTGTCGCCAGTTGCTGCTGGCGTCTGCTGCCGCCGCTGCCATCGCGATCCTCAACCCCATCATCATTTTCAGCCCTCGGCTGGCCATTCTCATACAAAACATGCTCTAACTGCAACATCTGTTCATGCTGTTGGCTGCAGGTAATGGTTGGCTCTGTGAATTGCTCTTGCTCTTGCTCAAAGTGCTGAAGAAGATGATGATGTTGTTGATGGAGCGGATTCGCATCCAGGGCAATCAGAGCGGACACCGTGCGCAGTAGGGCCAATGCATTGGGCACTTTATCATCATCACAATCGTTGTGATTATTATTGCTGCCGCTGCTGATGTTGCTGTTGCTGCTGGTGCTGTTGCTGCTGCCGCCGTTGCCATCATCTTTTACATACACATCAGCATCATAGTCATCGTCAGCGCGTGGCAATTGCGGCTCATTTTCTGGCACAACATCTTCACAGGAGCAAATCAACTCCTGCAACCAACACCAATAACAGATGCATCAGTTTCATGTTTGTATTTGTATTTTTGTGTGTGAAAAGTGTGTTTGAGAGTGTGTTTTTGTGTGTGTCTTTGAGTGTGTATTCTTGTGCGGGACTTGGGGGTTTTAACACTTATATCTAAACTACATTTGTCTAAGTTGGAGAAGCAATAGGAAAGAAGGCACCCAGCTTTACCACAACCACCTTTAACCCAATGAGGCTACACATTAACCATAAAAAATATATACTTTTAAAAGTACAGCGCTCTTCAGAATGCTTAGAATGTTAGTGAATAAATAAAAATCTTAAAATTAAATTCATGTATTAGGGTTTTTATCAGTTTCAAATTGATTTAACTACTTTTTTAAGATCCTACAATCATTTACTCAATTTACAATAAATTTTTCAGCATTTGCTAACTTGGTTTTCTTTGTTCAAGCAATTTCTAAGTTCTGAAACGAGCTGTACTTTTTTAAAAAAGGCTTCAATAGAATAAATTGTCCCATTTACTCACCTCATCTACGCCAATGCGACGACATGCCTCCAAAAAGTTATCCACATTGCGCCGACACCTGGCCATGGTCAACTTGTTCTGAAAAAACAAGTTAGAGAAATTAGTTAAAACGAAGATCTTAACGAAAATCAATATAAAATGCATTAGGAAAAGCGGAAAATAGCGAGTACATTGATATAAAACTCGATATACAGAGCTAGAAATGAAATCGATCCCATAATCGATATATTTTTAATAACGCGATACAGCGATATACATTTTCAGAATCGATTTTATCGAAAAAGTTTTGCAAGTCCATATAAAATTTAAATTATTTCGCTTTTTTTGCAATTTCAATCGATTAAATTCGATTTAATTTTAGAATTTTTTGTTATCGATTCACTAAAAATCGATTTTTTTCTAGATCCACCACTTACCACACCCGGCGATGGCACATGTATGCTGGCCACTGAGCGCGGACGCACATAGTTGGCCAAATGGCAGAGTATAACACCATCGGTCAGAGCTGAAGCAATATCCACAGGCAGGGTCATTTTTAAACGCGTTTCAATTATCTAAAGATAAAAATGTTTCAAATAAATAAATGTTGTTCATGTAATTCTAAACTTTAACTTCAACTTGAATAACTTTAATATTCTATATTCAATATTTCATATTCCTTAAGGAGCCAACACTTACACTCCTCAGCTGCGACATCAGTTCAGTCTCCTCCCGCTGGCGATCAAACTCTCGCCGCATGGTGAAGCTCAACTTCTCCGCGGGAATATCATGGTTCCAGGTCACCGAGCGGTGTGTCTTCACTGTACCCAGCTTTGTGGTAGAGCTAACTGGCGATTTAATGGTGGTGCTGGTGGCACCTGGTGACCCGCTGCCATTGGACGTATTGAACTTGTTAGCACCATTCTTCAGGGGACTCTGCGGCTTCACGTAGCCCAAACAATCCGATGGAATGGCCGAGGGAATGCCAGACGAGGTAGCCGGCTTGATTTCTGTATTGCGAGAGGGTATCACCTTCTGGATGGGTTTCTTTGGTATGACAACATCATCGACTCCATTTCCGTTCCCGGTTCCATTTCCGTTTCCGTTCCCATTGTGGCCATTTTGGTTGCTGTTCTGATTCAGACTCGACTGTTTCATTATGGACTTTGGCAGTGTGTTGCACATCGACGATGATCCGTTGGAGAGGCTTGACGGCGGCGGAGACAGGTCCTCGTCATCGTTGGGACTATGATTGGCATTCGGATGCTTTTGTTTGTAGACGCTCATCTCCTGGTTGCGCTGCTGCTTCAGGGCTTCCTTGTACTCCCTGTGGCAAAGGTAAATTGTAATTATTTGAAATTCTGGATAGTTGCATAGTTCACTCACTTGTAGGTCTGAATGTTGCCCAGACTCTTGCCAGACTTCCCATTGGTGGAGTGCACGGTGCGCTCCTGATGGTCCAGCATGATATCCTCGTCTTGATCCGGCGAGGATCCATTGCTGGAGCTGTTGGAGTGTGCATAGCTCAGCTTGCAGGGCGATGGCGTGGGACTCAGGGTGAGACTCTCATCCACAATTGTGCTGGTGCTGGAGGTCAGAGAGGCATCCATAAGATCCGCGTGCGAGTGAACCGCACTCGGCAGAGTCCTGGGCAATGTGGCAGCCGCCGAAGATGAGACGCAGTGCAGCGGCGAATCTGTCTTGGACTTGGCTGGGACATCGTGCGACCAGCGCTTGTCCAGGCCATCGCTGGTGCTGTAGCCCGAGTCCACCTGATGCCTTCGCTGATTGTTACTACCCGTGGTGCTGGCTTCGAGGACATTGCCGCTGGAATTGTGGCGAGGAGCTCGTCGCAGAGTAGTGTAGCCATCATAGTTTCCACCGGAACGCGAGCCCTTCTCATCCTTGGTGGCCTGCGTCTCTAGAAACTTGAAAACGTGCACCAGGCCACGCATGCAAAGCTGTAAAATGATTTGATAACAATTAGTTAGGGATTTCTACCTAAAGAAGTGATTACTCACACTAGCTGGCGGCGAAGTTAGCGGATTATTCTCCAGCTGCAGCTCCACCAACGTGGCCATGTGCCGAATCTCCAGCGGCAGACTAGCTATCCTATTGTTGCTGACATCGAGCGAGACCAGGCTCAGGCAGGTTAACTCCCTGGGCAGATACATCAGGTGATTGCTGCGCAGCGAGAGCGAGCGCAGCGATCTCAACTCCCCCAGACGGACAGGCAAGTTGGCCAGTTGATTGTACGAAGCATCCAGATCGGTTAACGTCTGGTCCAACCGGCCCATCTCATCCGGCAGGGTGGACAGCCGATTGTTGGACACAAGCAGCACCTGGAGGGGCAGGAAACATATCTCGCGCGGCAGCGAGGACAACTGATTGCTGCGGAGATCCAAGTAAGTCAGCGACGAAAGCTGCTTCACCGACTCCGGAATGCTGCGTATCGTGTTGTGATACAGCAGCAGCGTCTCCAGAAAGGCAAACGTCGTCACTTCTTCGGGCAGTTCACAGAATCGATTTCGGGAAAGATCTGTAAACGGAAGCAGAGGGAATATATTATATAAATTGGGAATTCAGCAGGGGGTATGTGGTCTAAGTGAACTCGAATCCGAACCCTTGCGCCATTTGACACGCACTTTTATTCCCATTCCAATTAGATTTCCACTCCACGCCACAGTGGAGCGCCTGACCTCAATCTCCGGCAATTTGATTCGGCCCATTCCGAAACACCAGTACAAAAAGAAAGAATTTAACAAGGGAATCGACTAGCTGATGCCCCTTGATTAAGTATTTATTATTATAGAATTCAAAATTTTTTGATATTTAAAATTTCGTTACATCAAAAATTAACATATTTTCATAACTTTTGTTTTCTGTTTGATTAAGTTCCTGGGCCAGCACTTTATTAACTTCATCAGCTTAAATATTTATAAACAAATATAAACAAAAGCTGATAAACTCGCGGTCCTTTTTACACACAGTTTCTATAAAAGACCCTACATATATACCCCTTTCTGGAAATCCCCGCGAGAATGCCAAAAACTGGGCAAAGTGCGTGTGGAGTGAGCAATTAATTTACTAAATGAATTTGCATGCGAAATGAGCGCAAACAGAACGAAAACTGCGGCTTGGCGGGGGCGTGGGCTCACAGCGGGTTATGCATAAACCTACAAAACAACAGGAAGAGGCACACTGGGAACAATTATATAGTTCCAGGTTATTTCTTAGTATATACTATATACAAATTTTGTTTTCTGTGTAGCAACACAAAGAAGGCAGACCGTAATCAACATTAAATTGTGCGTAAAGTTTTAAGAAAAAAGCGTGGAAAATGCAACATTAAGAATTTACTTTAAATTGGGGAAATCGAGGTGCGATAAGAGTGTAGAATGAAAGAGATTCAGTTCGTTAAGGAATTTCTGTGGGCTGCTAAAGAATTAAGTACTGAACAGGATATCCTATAGCTCTTTTTTAATAATAAAGACAATTTTTAAATATCCGAATTTTAATACGAATTCTTTCGTGTTGTTTGTAATACATCATATTAGATTAGTTGCCATCGCCAGCATCTTTATCTTCTGACATCCAATGGATGCCATCATGCGGCAACGGGCTTGAAATAAATGGAGAAATCCAAGACAAGCTCATTCGGCTGCCGAAAATCATCTGCAAGTTCAAGCGCAGACCACGATCATAGTTGAAGTTCTTTGTTCTCAATTCGTACCAAGTCACACCGCTTATCAGAATGGGCCAACGTTGATACAAAAAACATATAGTTGAGAAAAGGACTACCCAATTCAAACCAAAAAGCACAGCAAACACCATCTCAAATTGGCTGGGTATCACACTTTTGAGTAACTCCTTCACATTCAATTCCCCTTTTTCATTAAAAACCTCGCGAACATCATATAACCCATTGGCAAAGGGTAACAGAACAAACTTGTAGCTGCCTCCGCGAAGAAAATAAACAAACACGAGACTTGCTATAAAAGCCACTAGTGAGGAGATCAGCATATAGATGACAAAGTAGAAAAAGTATCTATAGTTTGCATGGCCAACGCAGCAACCGGTGAAGTTGCAGTGATGATCTCGCTTTAGAACACAAACGTCGCAGATTTTGCAATGATGGGATCGCGGTGGAGCCCAGATATCGCACTTCTTACACTCGTGCCACTCCCTAGGCTGCTTTTCCCGCTCCAGTGGCGACCCCATTGTACTCGGGTCAATGGAGGGATCCACCAGCACGCACATAATGAAGTTGGACATCAGGTTTGAGAAGAGGAACATGCCCAGCAGCTGGAGGAATATGTAGCCGGCAGAGCCGTAGTCCAGCAACTCCGGCAGCACTTTTATAATGAGAATATAGTAAGCTCCTGGAATAAGTCCAAGACAAGCGGATACTAGCATACGCTCCATGTTATCACCTGGCCAAATCTTGTTTAAAGGTCGAAGTTTCATTGTTGCTAAACCTATGGAATTAACTTTGAAGAGTATAGATTGGAGATTGGGTTTACCAATTTTATTTTGAAAGTATTAATTATGCCTGCTATGCTACAGATGAAGTTATACTTTGATTTCACCTGAGATTTATTAAAATCATAAACCCAAAGCGTGCAAGCAAATACTAAACTTTTTAAAGTCAATGATTTCACTTCAAGTTTCTTAAGTAGTTCAAGCACTTTGGCAAACAGTGCGTATGAATTTGGGGAATCTTAATGGCCGTATCGTAAAAATTTACGAACCGCGGACCCGTCTGGCTATGCTTCTACACCTCTCTACGATTTTACGCAACTTCTGGCAAAGTTTGCACAGTGAAAACCAGAAATGAACAATTTTCAGGGAGAGAAAAACTGGCTACGCTGATTGACTGACTGACTAACTGGCGGCAGACTGGCGACAGTTGGGATGTGATTTACGCACTGAGCGGTGGCAGTGGTGCCTTCCAGACCAGTCATTGTATCATTTTATATACATAAGTTATATTCCCAGGGAGCCAGGACAAAGGCGTTGCATGAATGGGAGCTTGACTTCGGTAGCTTCTAGACATTAACCTGCCACATGGAGAGTTGCTGCTGATGATGTTGCATACTATATGAGCTTACAATGATGCAACACACAATGGAGACTGGGGCTTTACACTAAGAGAAAAGCCTAAAAACCTTTCATTTTTACATTTACATTTTAAAATATAAATTAATCATAGAAATATTTATGAATAATTTAATAATCAATACATTTTCCAGAGTTTTTCTTTTGGAAAAGGTTTCCATAAAGTAATGTTTGTCATATGCCATTTTTTATAGTGCAAAAGTCCTTTTTTGCTTGCATCCTGGCAAGGTTGAATAAACCCTATGCGGCCAATGACGCTGGGTGTGGGGCCGTATAGAGTTGAAAAGTTGTCCTCGAGGATGCGGATGCGGATGCGGAAATTGGATTTCCCCGAAGCGGAGGCATCAATATAGGACAAAATGGAATAACCGCCGACTTTGTACTTTGAACCTGTTCCGTGACGATGGATATTTTCATCTCTAGCCACACACACCTGCTCTCTACTCTACTCTGCTCTGCTCTGCTTTTTCTCTCACTGGCAATTTTCCAAGAGTTTCCACTCTATTTCCCCGCATCCTTTCCCATTTCTCCCCAGCTGGCTTTTGGCCAACTTCAACGCAATGCGACAGGCGAAAATGTGTTTTTTACGTCTCGCCAAATAAATCAAATTGTTTGACGCTGCAAAAAACCAAAGTGCCATCACAGTTTTTGTTTTGACTTTTTTAATTTTCTGTTTATTTTGCCCACCTGAGGCCCCGCATAAAGTCATAAATATTGCAGAAATTGTCCTCAAACCAAAAGTGCCGGGGGCATTTAACCAAAAAGCCGCCAGTCAAAAGGGTGCGGCTTGGGATTTGAAACCGACAAGGATTGTAGCAACGCCCAAAGTCAAAGTTTTGCAGTCAGACGACACGCATGACAATGGAGCGAGATTATGATGTAAGTGGAACAGCGAAAAGCCAGGGATCGACTGAGCTATGGACACCCTTGAAGTAATATATGTAGGACGGACACGCCATAATAAAGGTAATAATGTTAATTAAAGCCGAGATTAAAATCTCAGCTTGAGGCAACGTTCTTTTAAAAATTAGTAAAGCTCAAAGTTATTAAAACGTTCTTCTATGGTAATAAATTGCAATGTGTCAACAAGTAGATACATTAACAGAACTTATCATATATTTATAACAAAGTCGGTTAACATTGATAAGAGTTTATTTTATCAAAATGGTTCAGGTATAATGTTTGATAAGATATTCACAAAATATACATAGATCATAGGCCATAAACATAGATAGGAATCTTATCGAAAAATGCAGGTTAAAATGAAGTAGAGAAACTCACAACCCCTACTTTGAAATGTCTATAACTATTGAAAATTTATATATTATATAAAAATATAGATAATTTGTTATATAGCTCATATACTCTCCCTGCATACCCTGCAGGTATTGCATAAAAAAGGGACACATGTGGCAGACATTGACTGGCATTTGGGACTTTGAAGGGCGTGGGCCCAGTCCGGAAGCAAACGAAAAATTAAATTGATGGCTCTCCTACGATATTGGCAAATGGAGCTTTGCTCTTTCCCTGCCGCCAGTTCTCCCTGGTCTAGCCATGTGGGCGACGGCTTCTCCAGCGATAGAGCATGGAGCACGTGCCCACAGAGACAGCGACCCCAACCAGTCCATACTTTATTTGGCTTCGGGTCTTAATTTTTTTTTGGCTTTGCCGAATATGAGTGGCAATGCCGGACGCCACTACATGTCCGTTCATTAATATTGACTGACCATTAGGCAAACGAAGGGGCAGACATCGGGCCACAGTGGATTCCATTGATGGATTTATTGAAATTAATTTCTTTGAGTTTTATTGCTGACATTGTGGGCCTAGAGTGGGGCGTTGAAATTGTGAGTCATTAAATGGCAGGAGAATATTTATGGAACTACAAATGTGTAAATGGAAATATATAAGTATCAGAATGTTCAGAGATCATTGCAAATATGGTCTTTAGTAAATATATACATATATCTTTTAAAGTAAGTACTTACATATATCTCAAACCAAACATCCTCATTTTTATATAAATATAATTTCAACAAGAATTTCTTGAAACTGAAACCCTATACCATATAATTTTTCCAAGAATCTTCTCTTGGTCGTAAATTGTTTATGTATTTATTTATTTAACTCAATTATATTACTTTGGAAAACCACTTGAGATCACTTTCATATATAGGGCAATGTCCCAACTATGTGCGCACTTCGTCAAACTAATCAAAATAAATAATATGGAAAATTGCGCTTGGTTCTTGCTGCCATCGATTGATTGCTTTCTGATATTGAAAGCTGGAAGCAATCAAACATATACACTTACACTCACACCCAGTCAGGGTATCAGTCTGATTTGGAATTTAATTTCAAATACAAACACTCACACCCCCGCTTTTCTCTTCCGGCAAAAGTCTGCTCTACTTGTTGTTTATTTTAGACAGTGCAGTTTCGCGTAGAAATTCCTTTTCTCCGCCATCCTCTGTTCTTCAGACTCGTTTAATCACTAAACAAACACAAAAAGTCTGTGCTGGCCAAGTGTAAACATCGAAGAAAACAAATATTGAAAATATTTGGAAGCAGATTAAAAAATTTTGGTTGTGTTTGTTGCTGCTGCTGATGAATGTTTTTCTTTCTAATTCAATATGTAACAGCTGTGATTTCTAAGCTACACATTTCCAAAAGTAAATACAAACACAGGCTAGAAGAGAGATCAAAACAAAGAAAAGACAAGAGACGGGTTTTTCTTACAGTAGTTACTCGATATAAATATATATTAAATAAGAAATATTAAGTACTAGTCAGAAAATAAAATGTTTATTGAGTCTTACTGGCTCTGTGGATCTTCACTTGTGACTGGATTTGCCAAGAGTAGCCAAGTGGCTCTTTTAATTATTATAATTAAAAGTAAATTAACACAATTTAAATTCCATCATGAAGCTACCAATTCTAGATTCTCTTCAATTCCACCTACAGAGTATCTACTGTATCTGAAGTGGTTGTAATCTGATCTATCTTTTTTCCGTCTCTTTTCACGAGCGCGTGCTGTGCACAGCAATTAAGCAACTGGCACAATAACAATTTCAGCAGCTAGAAGAACTGACCGGCTGGGCTGTTTGTTAAAAAATGCTTAGACTTATAAATTAATGAAAATGACTCAATGCATAATTTGTCTTAATGTGTGTCAAGTTTGCATTGCCCTCGATATGGCCAATATATGTACATATATACATTTATGCACATAAATAAATGTAGATATTGGTGTGGCTCTATATCTAATTGCACAAGGCGTTCGTTCAACTCACGATAAGCAAGCGAGAAGGAAAGAAAATTGCAGTTTATCGCTGAAATAATTTTTAATGTTATTTTTAGCCGGCAATGGGCACAATGAGGGTGCATTTAGAAATGGAATATAATATAAGGGGGCACGTAAACTATATGCGCATGATGTCTGGTATCACCCTCATTGAATAATTTGTTTACCAAAAAGTATTCTATAAGAAAGTACATTATTGTGGGAATATTAAAACAGAGTGTGTGCCAGTTTTGGCTGTCGAATGTATTTTTTTGAAGGTCACCACCAAGTCTTTTCAATTATATTTGAAAATATTTAAAATATAAATCAAAATGTGCAAGTTTCATATACTATACAGTTTTTCCTAAGTATTTATGCCATATTTTCAGATGATTTACACTTGCCTGGTAACTTTCATATTCATTTTATTTTGATACCAATTTATGGCTCTGAATTTTTATGCTTTAACTTAAAAGAGTGGTCTATTTTTGTTCTATTTCTTCCTCACAACCATTACTTCTTCAAAGCAAAAATAAATTAGTTTACCATCCTTAATTACCAAGTCTGTCTTTCACTTAGTTTTGCTATTTAAGCTGCTTATAGAAGGATTAACAGCCCATCTATTCCCACAGATGTATCAGTTTCTACTGTAATTCTATTCTACTATCGATCTTTCCTGGAAACACTGTATGACGATACCATCTCCATTCCCAATGCACTTTGTATTCAGTTTGTATTTTTTTCTTTAGTTTTTTTTTTACAGCATTGCGCATTCAAGCCATGAACTGTGCAGTTTGAGAAGCACTGGAGATAAGCGACGTGCTGCGGCGCTCGCATTTCCTCTTTTGTCTGCTGGCAGACAGAGAATAAATAGTAATAAAAGTACAAAAAAGCAGACTAGCTGTCTTTTTATGCTCCATCATATTTACAATGCAAACAACAAAAATATATACGCGTCAGATACACACACGACAAAAGCATTTTCCCCCCCGTGCTCTATGTTTGTTGTTGATGTTGTTTTGTTTGCCGGGACTTTGACTTCCCGAAAACATAAAAGATTTCTTCTTCCCGGTCACTTGGCAGACATTTCACTCAGTCATAATAAAAGAAAAGAGTGGTGTAAAGTGGTATTAAAGAAAGGATTTTAGAACCCAGTAACATAAGGGACAAGCCTTATCTTAAAGCAATATAATCTAGGTACATATATTCCATTTCTAAAAGGCATAAAACCAAACATTTCGGTTTACATTTCATATAATCTATAATCATACATAAGATCAGGTTATAAAGTTCTTTTTAGAAACCCAATTAAAACACAAATAACTTTATAAATTTGTGAAAAACGATTCTTCTCGCCACTGAAACCTTTAGAAAAGAATTAAGAAAATTTAGAAAATATAGGAAAAATAATTCTCTGACTGAGAAAACCTCCGTCTCAAAGAAGCCAAGTTGCCAGCACATATAATCAGCTGCTGCTGTCTCTGCGCAGCTGCTGTTGCTGCTTTTGCTGCTGCTGCTACCTTCTTATATTGACTTCGGCTTCTTTTCCCACAATTTATGCCTGAGAGGCAGCTGCAATTTTTATCCGTTTTTCGCTTTTTTCCTTTTCGTTGCAATTATTTTAAACAATTTCCTGCCGCAGCGTTGTGTTGTCATGTTGATTTTTCGCTCCTCTTGATCGGCTCTTTTTTACGGCCTTTGTCTAGGTTTTTGTATATGGTTCTGTTTGATTTACGTGACACGCGTCTTAATTAAACGCCCCAAAGGAATGCAGTGCTTAAAATAAGGGGAGGGGGAACTAAGAGTGGGAGTGGGGGAGTGGGAGGAAAAGTGCCAGCCGCAACAACAAATGATTTTGGGAAATGCTGACAGGCAGGCGCCTCTTCTCGCTTTTATAAAATGTGCTTGCTTTCCCATTTTGGGGGTTGCAAGGCATGCGTGCAAATAAAGAAAAGAAAAATGGTTGTATTTCACATTTATTTTTTTTCTCCTTTGACTTTCCTTTCCTGCAGACTCATTGATTTCTTGGAAACTCGAAACCCTTGCAACTTGGCTCGTGTGGCACATTGTGGTTGCCGCCATTAGGGCTAAGAGCTGTTGCCACCTCTCAAAGTCTGCGTATGTATGTACCTCCCCAAGCATTTTGCAGAGGGTGGCTTTATTGTTCTCAAAAAGGCAATTTGTAGAGGTTCTTTCGCTTGGCCGTATTTACAAATATTTTCCCCATAGATTAACCCTTACAGAGAGGTTCAACCTATCTACATTACCCCCTATTTCTGCCGCATTCATTCACACCAAATACGGCTTTTTAATTGGTAATTAGTCACGCCCTCGCAGCTGATGACTCAATTTGGAGTGAGAAAACGCAAGAAACTTCATCGAAAAATAAACCAAAAACCGGAAGCACTTCGAGCCTCGATTTGGGGAAGGGTTTTCCAAAGAAGGCAAGAGTTTTTCCCCACTTCAAGCTGATAGCGCGTGACCAGAAGAGACGGACTGTCGCAGTTTATATTTCACAGACAGACAGAGTCACGTACGCGAAGGAAGCGAAACGGTATTTTAAGGAAATGGAAAATGGAATTTCCTAGGTTAGGGGAAGAAACATCTTTCAAACTGGTTATTTATAACTAGTATTTATTATTTTATTTTGACAAGTTTATAAATTTCGCCTATTTCTGTATTTTTTTCAATTCAATTCAATTTATTCAAACTTATTTATCTTTTCCATTTCGATTCAATTTTATCTCAGCAATTGAATTAATTTCAAGCAAATTGAGAAATATTTTCCAAATTTTGACTATGTTTATTTTTGTTAATTAACAATTGAGGGATGATTGATTAACTCACCAACAGAAATGTATTTTTATAGCATTCTCTGCCTTCAATTTTACCAAATTAGTTTTCAATTTATGACACAATTTATTTTTATCTTTAGCTCGCGCTACAATTAATCTTTGGCATCCAAAAATAAATAATTCCCTTCACTAACTTCAAACCCTGATATTTCCACCAAACATATACAAAAATAAATGCATACGGTAAGCACCCGATACAGTGCTAACTTGCTTTAAATTTAAATAGATTTTTCAACCTAATATTTTATGTAAACAACTTAGCCGCCCGTTTTTACTGATTCATGATTTTAGAAACTTAGCTTATTTACCAACTTTGATTAGTAGTATTCACTTTACAGAGAGCTCACTGTATGTGTATACAACAAACCCAAGTGAAAATCGATGAGAGACATGTCCCGATGCGAGAACATCTGTTCGAGGGTAGCAGCAGCTGTAAAAGGGGGCGGGGTTCGCCTGTGGGCGGTGGGTTTGGGCGAGGGTGGTTCAGTTTGGGTATTTCCCTTTTCCCATTTCCCGTTTTCCCTGCTGGTGCATATTTTTTGGTCCTAACAAAAACGAAAGTTGGTTGAACTTCGACGAAATTTCGTGCCGGCTGCAGTGGCGAACCGAAAAAAAAAAGTAAAAAGAAGGAAAACCAGGATAGTGCAAAGTGAAAGAGAGCGAAAATGGCGATAATTATTGTCCTTGAGCGCAGGCGAATGAAGAGAGGAAGCGGGAGGGGTGATGGTAGCGACTAGGAGGAGAGAGAAAGAGAGTAGCTGGTGGAAAAAGGGAGAACCTCGGCGGCTGCTGCTACTGCAGATTATTGATTTTCATCTCGCTACAAAGGGAAAATTCGCAATTGCAACTGTGAGATAAGAAAACTTGGTTAGCACACACACCGAGACAACACACCTCTTTTCAGAGCCGCACCCTAAGAGAGAAATACCTGCATAAACTTCCCCGCCGGTCGAGTTTTCTGTGATGTCAACTAAATTGAGCATTTTTGTAACTGAAATACCTGGTCGGTTTTAAATTGCAACCTTTTCCAGCTTAAATTACTGTTTAATATTATACATTTGTGTCCTTTTTTTATTTATTTTTTTTAATCTTCTGACCCACCAAAAGAAAACCTATGTCCCTACAGAATATGAATCGGTAAAACCTGTCAGGTACCTTAAAAAGCTGCACTTTCCCAACTTCAATATAATTTCCTCAGAGTAGAATACATCCCTCTTGTAATTACTGGCCCTCCAGATGTTTCCCAACGACACACCTGTATGTTAATTGGTTTTCCCCCTTGTTCACCCCGCAGGAGTCCTACTCTGAAATTAAGGTACACACCTGCTATAACGGTATCCGTGAGCGCGTACTTGGTGCCCGCTTTGGGAAAGTCCTTCAGCTTGCGGTTCGTGAGGATCAGCTCGCCGCTAAAGTGCGCCTCCTCCAGGATGCGCTCCAGCGAGCGCGTCAGCTGGGAGTGGCTGAGCAGGGCGGAGGAGGAGGAGGTGTTGCCTGCAGATCCAGTCAATCCCGCTCCAGAGGCCGCTCCTCCTGGAAAGGAAGCCGACGCGCTGCCGCCGCCGCCGCTGTGGAGGCGTTGGTAAACAGTTGCTGCCATTTCCCGTGCGTGTAGGCGTGGTGACAATCAAACACACACACCAGCACAGCAGCACTCACACCAGCACACGCACCGATTAGAAGAGCGGACAGAAGTACCGGAAAAAAACTAAAAACTAAATTTGCTCTATTGAAACGCACGCATCTTGATATTTTTCTTCACAAAGTTCTAGCTCATTGATAAGATTTCTCGGAATTGGCTTCTCCTTTTGCGGCTTCCTTCTTGCCCGTCTTGCTTCTTCTTCTTCTTCGCCTCCTCACACACACACACAAGGGCGTACACGCGCGTCCCGCAACGAACGAAGCGCACAGAACGAAATCAAAAAAAATACTGAATCCGAAAAGTGCGGAAAACAGAAAACCGATGACTTTTAGAGATGCGTAATTGAAGGAAAACTTGTTTTGGTATTTTCGATAACTTAAACCGCCGTCAGGGCTGCAGAAAAAAAAGCTAAATATTTACAAAATTCTGAAAAGAAGCTACATTTCAAACACATTTAATTATTATATTATTAAAATTCAAAATGAAATTATATTGATTAAAACTTCGAAGCTTGCCTTTTTCCTTTTGTATAATTTTGTATAGATATTATTTATTCTCTCCAAGAATGTTTGACCAATAAAATAGCTATATTTAACCGTATAAGCAACTTGCATAGTTAATAAAGTTTTATTTTATTATAAGAAAAGTTATTCAAATTATTCGAATTTCAATCAAATCTGATTTTAAAAATTCTTTTAGTGTGACCTAATTTGTCCCACAAATAAATACCATCCGAAAGATAGTTTCTGCTATCGATAGGCGCGCTGCATTTCTCGCAGCTGATTCCCATCTCTAGGCCAGTGCAACAACAAAATTCCAACGCAACACAAGAATTGTGCGAAAAAAGTGTTTTAAATTTAACAAAAACCCACGCGTTGTTTTTTAATTCGTTTCCCGCAGTTCGGTGTGTTGAATACGTGAGTTTATCTTATCTGTGTGTGCGCTAAAAACACACCAATACCACGACACCCCTTCGTTCTTTCGCGTCCCTTTCTCCCACTCTTCTTCTTCTAAAACTGTGTCAAATCAGCAAAAACAACAACCACATCCAAATAGAACAGTGCTGAGTGCGTGTGTGTGTGTGTTTTGAATGCACAAATTGATAAGAAATTTGATTCAATTTAATCTACTTTAAATTGCGTTGAATCAGGGCAAGCGACAACCCCAAAATAAATATAAATAATAAATTAGTAATCCGTATAAATAGAATACCCTTGGGCGTGATTTTGGTGTGTGCATAATTAATTCAAAAGTTCGGTTCCGCATTTTCGGAAATCTTAAGGCAGACCGCAACGAATAAAGCAACAACAAAAGCGGTTTTTGTTTATTTTTCAAGCTCAAGCGAATGAAGAAAAAATCGGCTTCCAATCAGCTGTTTCTAGCGACCGCCAAGAGCGAGCGAGCGAGATAGCCGGCGTGCGCGCCAAAACAAAATATACAACAACAACAACACCGGCACAGTGGTTCGAAACCTAGCAAAATTTGTATACAAACTATTTATATAGGAAAAGGAAAGTTAAACTAATTTACATTTTACATACATTTGTTAAGGTAAGTAATCAGCATTAAAGCTTACAAAATATTTACATATCCACTACAATTAATCCATATTTTCTCAAGTTTTTTTAAATCGTTTACATTTAATACGCGTGTGTCCAAGCAATAAGTTCGAAATTTAAAGCAAATATAAAAAATAAGAAAAGTAGTGAAAAATGAGTGATGAAACGGGTGATACGGGCGAGGCAGCTGCTGCTCCTCCGACCCCCCAACCCGCCACCAATACGGAAGGATCAATGGAGGCGCCCGCCTCAAAAATACCCGCTCCTTCAAGATCAAATATTCCCACGCCCGCATCATCAGTCACCGGAATTCCAACCGCCAGCAAAATGAAGGTACCTTCCAATTTTGGATCAACGGGTTCCGTGTCCAAGATCGGAAGACCCTGCTGCAACAACACAGCCCCCAAGACAGGGCCACCACCCAGAGGTGAGTTGTTTAGATCAATATTGGTGTATTCCAGGTAAATTAATATATTTATTATATTTAATAAACATCAACAATTTAGAAAATATTATCATTATATGATACATGTTTAATTACACAAGTTGTATATGAAATTCTCTAAGATTACTGATTAGTTAATGTGTGTTATATTTTTATTTCGTCTTAAATATTTACATTAATTATTTTAAAAATTCTCGAGCATCATCTTACTCTCGAAAAATGATCCCAAGAAAGCTTGGCCACACTTTATTGTTGCAGAAATTTGTTTACAATTTCAGAGGCTGATATTCATACATATCTCGCCACCATTTAAACAAATGTCACAGACAGGAAATATTTCCTTTGTTCAGATTTAAATAATTAAAATATTCCAACATACACTGCAACAAATCGACTTCTCGCATATATTTTTATTATCAAGACTCTGTATGTAAATCAAGATGGTTCTAAAAGAAGGAAATAGGATTAAAGCTAAATATAAAAGTGAGTTAACCAGACTTTTAAATATTGAACTTTAGCGAAAATAGTTTTATTTGATAGAACCTCAGAGGATGTGTTCCTAAATCATCCTTCTTACTGCATATGTTCTTCTCCATCCCAAAACGTCATTCTTTTGAAAATGCACAAAAATTCGTGTTTACATCTTGGGCTTAAACAAGTCGTCTGTAATTCCGGTTTGAACCAACTGCAACCACTTAAAGACGCCCACACGATTTCCTATATAGTATATCTGTACTAACCGACTGCAATGATCTAATGGCAGCGATGGGGCACCCACAATGCCTTGCTGAAAATATATAAAGAACTGACCCCACCCACTTTTAAGTGCACTTTTTGCACTACATTGAACTCGAGAAATTTTTACGAGAGCTGTCGGTAAGGCAAATTCCACTGAAAACAAAGAACCAAATTCTCATTCATCAGAAAAATCAACATCATTTGAATTAAGCTAAACAACCAACTTGTAATTCCCACAGTCAACCGTTTTGTTTTGTAAACAAATGCTTCAGTCACTCACTTATTTAATTATTTTGGCTACACCAACGCGCGCTGGACGAAAATAAACAAAACAAATTGCCGCCTACTCTCCACTCTTGATCATAATTATAGAGCTGCCCCGAAAAGTGTTTTTTGGGTAGGAGAATTATGGCCAATTAGGCAAGTGCTGCTACCATTTAATTGATCCGCCCATTGTGGCACATTATTCAGGCACGTAACCGCAGCCGTCGACAATCGGCGACCCACTAGCCCATATAGCAAACGATCTGCCAAACGATCCATCCATCGATCGATGGTTCGTTCGATCGAGGGGTTTTCCATTTCGCAGACACACGCTCCATATCCGATTGACAGTCTCAATGCAACCGCAAAAACGTAGAAAACCTAGGGGAAAGAGTTACCCAAAATAAACACAATAATAGCATTGTAACATTGTTTGAGATTAAAACTGAGTCACGAGGTGCAAATGCGTACAGTGGGCGTGAAATTGATAGCAGTCATGGGAACAGTTCACACGGGGCATTGTAATGTTAATATTGTGTTAATGATGCAATTATTTATTATAGTTTTCATTATGTATTTACTATATTAGTTTGCCAATCATGGTTGAAACTTTAAAAATAGATGATTATGGGCTAATATTAATTGAATTTATTCAATTAATGAAGTTATTTAGGCCAACTATTATTATAAAAGCCTAGTTTCATGGACATGTGTTTAAATAGTTAAATATATATTATAGAAGGTAACAATGCTTGACCTAAACTATAAAATTGAAAGTGAATTAATAACACAAACTATTAGTTAAGCATTGACTGCCTTAAATGGTAATTTGATGGCTAAAACAAATGTTGGTAATTACGCTTTTGAGGTCTAAAGCTTTTGTAAGGAAAATTAAACCACTGAAATATAAAAGAAATTTATAAAAAAGTTTGAAGTGCCCATGTAAGAATTCTAATTCTTTACAATCTTTCTTAATTTGCTATACTAGACATACCGATTTAGTTCGCTTCTTAAAAGCAAATCAGTTCCAAGCTTAACGCTTTAATCCCCTTACCAAATCCACTTTCTAAAATCTTTCCTAACATTCTGAAGCAGACTGTTTGAGTCGCTGCCAAGACCTGTCATTTATCTCGCAAACACTCAATGTCACACGACCGAGAATTCTCCCCATCCGCCGACCGAGAAAACCTGGCGACCGGCCGGCAATCTCTCTTTCTCCGGCCCCTAATTGAATTTGTTCTATGCGATGACACAGAAAAAATACACGAAATGATTCTGTAGGTATGCCTGTCTGTGTTTCAGATACTTTGTGTTGTTTTTTCGCTGCGCATTTGATGCCTGGTTCCGTTCTCAGTCGATTTTGATATGATCTTTGCGGTCGACGGTGCCCGTGGATGAGCTTATGTCACTTTTATTGATTTCGATCGGAAACAAAAGTGGAGCCTCTCTCCCACCTTAAAAACGGAAAGCTCATTTGTCTTCGCATTAAGATGGAATCGGCATCGAGTCCGGGATCGACGTCTAATGGATGAGCGCTGTCTCGAAGGGGATTACTCCATCCGATTCTAGAGCTAGATTGAGCCAGCCAGCCCGGCTTTTGTTTACATCACCGATTCGCTCAGTGGGAGAGTCAATATTGATGTTATGATTAACCACTTTTTGTCTTACTTATTTGACTTGCCTCCATTAAGTCGTTAAGATCGGTTTAATTGGCGACACGTGTTGAATATTTTAACGAAAAGAGTCTCAGGTTTCCCCTTTTTGAAATATCCATAGAAGGATTAAGGACTATATGATGCAATAAATCGTATATCTTCTTTTTTAATAAAATTTGGTTTAAATATGGCTTGAAGGAATTAACCATTGCCCTTAATTGGGCTTAATCAAAAAGCAATTTACATGCTTTCAGAACTATAAACAATTATTTTGACCGTTGAAACATACTTTCATTTTTATATCTCTTGTAAAGAATCGTTTCAAGTATGCTCTTTGGCTTGTTAAAAGACTTTCTGAGAAAGCATTTCCCCATTCACGTTTCTTAGATTTTTTCTTTTAAGCTGCTACATGAACAATCTAAAAATAATTGACTCTGATTAGCCTGAAAAGCTGTCAGGAATTTAGTAGTTTAAGCTCGCAAAGCAAATGTGCATAAAAGTCAGCAATTTACTACTTGGAAACTTTAAAAATAATTAGACACACTCATCATTGTGTTAACCTGTACTAACTGACTCAGTTCTCATGGAAAACACTTGAAAAATTCTTTTTTAAATGTTAAATATCTTTAATCCATTAAAAACTTCCTTGACTTATTGCAGACTTACTTGGATCCCAACAAAGTTATTAATTTTTTACTTAATATAAATTAAATGATAACCTATTCATAGTATATCTTCACCTAAAAGGCTATCTTAAATTAGGCTATATGCATTGATTCCATTTATTTACATTTGGCTTTCAAAATATACCCAAAATAATCAATAATTTTCCAACTCTTGACTTATCTTTTTAATGATTTGCCTGATGCGTTTGCTGCACTTATGAATAAAGTGCTAAAAGCCATAAGCCGTTGAGAACCAGACATGCTGATAGAAAGGCGCCTATGAGCGATCAATCAATATCAAATCGAAAAAAAGGGAATATATAAATGTAGCCATGTGGCAACACTTGGTTTGCAAAATTTATTAAACGTACACGTCCGTGCTAAAGTAAAAAAATAAAAACAATTTTTTTACGGCTCTTATTTTACGCCTGTAGTCGTTTATTCAATAACAAGAAAGGAAGCTAACTTCGGCACACCGAAGTTTGTATACCCTTGCAGGTTGGTTTTGATATTTATATTATAAATTTAAATGCTTAAAACACACACAAAACAGAGTTTCATTACATTTTACCTAGACTTATTATGTTTACAGTTTGACGGTTACAGTTTTACATTCCCAGCTTTACATTTTCTCTACATCTACCGATCGCTTCTATGGCAGCTATATGATATAGTTGTCCGATTTTTATGAAATTTATACCATAATTCTAGAATAATAAAAAAAGCGTATATCTCAGAGTAGATAAACATACGTTGAAAAACAACGAAGCTGTAATTTTTTTCCTATTAATTTCCCGATCGTTCCTATGGCAGCTATATCATATAGTCGTCCGATTTTCATAAAATTTTTACCAAAATTCTATAATAATATAGAATGGCCATATCTAAAAAATTGTGCAAAAATGTTGAAAAACAGCAAAGTTATAATTTTTTTCTACAAATATATCGAACATTTGTATGGCAGCTATATGATATAGTCGTCCGATCCGGCCCGTTCCGACATATATAGCAGTGAGAGTATATAGAAGACTATATGCAAAGTTTCATTCAGATAGCTTTAAAACTGAGGGACTAGTTTGCGTAGAAACGGACAGACGGACAGACGGACAGACGGACATGGCTAGATCGACTCGGCTGTTGATGCTGATCAAGAATATATATACTTTATAGGGTCGGAAACGTCTCCTTCACTGCGTTGCAAACTTCTGACTGAAATTATAATACCCTGCAAGGGTATAAAAACAACGAAAGCGCGGAGGCATTGCCACAGTGTCTGCTCGTCAACACTGGCCAACAAAGCTGGGGTTTCGGATCGTACACTCTCTCTCTCTGCCGTTTCTCGCCAACTTTGAGATACTTCGAGGCGAGCGAGCGAGAGAGCTGCGAAGTATCTGAAAGGTTCGCAACGCGACTGCCGCTCGCCGTTCGGTTAATTTCAATTCAGTTACTTGAACGACTTTTCGCGAGGCGGACGTGCTCCACACGGGATCGCAGCTCAGCAGCTCAGATGGCAACCAATTGAACTTGATCGGCTCTATACTATAGCTTATAGTGAACACGCAAACAAAATTGAACAATCCAAAAAAAAGCGAGCTTTAACAGAGACTAATTCATTGTTATAAAACACACAAAAGGTGAAACTGAAAATACAAATTCTAGC